TGGGAGTTCGACGAAGATTTCGGCGTCGACGGGTGCGTAGAGAAATGCGTTGGCGACATCGATTTGTCGCGGTTTCTTCTTCTTCATGGCGGCAACGGCGAGAAGAATTCGAAGAGAGGTATGTCGACTTACTGGGGCGAATGTCTCGGTGAAGTCTCGTCCTTGCTCTTGGTCGAATCCACGCACGACCCAGCGTGCTTTGAACTTCTCGATTGTGCCGTCTGCTTTCATTTTGATGCGGAAGACCCATTTCCCGGTGAGAATGGTCTTGTTCCTTGCCACGCTTGCGAGAACGACCTTCCAAGTGTTGCGTTCCTCCAGTGCCTTTAACTCTCTGTCCATGGCTTCGCACCATTTCTCCCTGTGTTCCCCCCCCAGAGCCTGCTGAACCGTCGCAGGCTCCTTAGGAAGTGCGTTGACGTGGACTGCGGTGACGAGGCCGAGGATTTGCAGTCCAGTCTGTGAGTATCGGGGGAGTGTTGGATCCTCGGGATAAGCTGCTTCGTCTCGCGCTTCTGGATCGGGTATGAAATTTGGCCCTATCCGTTCTGCTTCGTTTGTGTTGACTGTCGCAGGTGTTACGTAACCGTTGTCGGCGAAGTGATGGAAGACTTCGGCGTTGACACTGTCGCGAGGATTTTCTTCGTCCATGGGCACGTCGACGGAGCAGTACGGGAGAGGTCCGGTTTCGTCCAATGCGTTGTCGACGTTCTGTTCATCCCAGTCTGCTTCGTCCGCTGCTGAGGCGAAGGCTCGGTCACCACGAAAACCACCTGTGGGGTCCTGATTCTCGTGCAAGTTGGCGAGGTACGTTTGAAGGGTGAGTCGCTCGTAGAAGATCACATCACGTGCTGCTACTGTTTCCTTTGAGTGGACATCGAAAATTTTCCACGCGTTGTAATTTTTCTCGATGCCGAGGTGTAGTCCCCACTGTGCCCGTTGTGAAAAATCTTCCCGCTCGTGCTTCTGGGGGTCGGTACTGCACCATGCATCCGAAAACTCGTAACATTCTTGTGCTGCCCTGCTTTCCTGTCCACAGCAGATGCGGTGATGCGTTGTTTGGGAGTGACGACGACGACAGCAAGTTGTGTAGCATGACAGCATGGTCCATTGCTGCAGGCCACTGGTGGTTGGGTAGCCGCATGCCACGTAGCAGTTTGCGCATGCTGTTCTGCAGAGTCCTGTTCATTCTTTCTGCGACACCTTGCTGCAGATGGGCGTAGGGAAGGGAGAGGAGCTGCTTGATTCCTCTTTCCGCCAGGTGCTGCTTGAATCGCTGAGAGGTGTATTCTCCTCTTCCGTCTGACAAGAAGCTTTTCAGCTGTGTTCGTGACTCCCTCTCTGCTACCGATAGCCAAGCGGCGAACGCTGCGAGTGCCATGTCGCGGCTGGGTAGGTTTTGATGCCAGACGTATCGAGTGGCGGCGTCGATGAAGGTTATCGTGTAATTGTAGGTGACTTGTCCTGGTTCTCGATTGAAGAGGATGTCGCTGTATACTTTCTCGAGTGGTGTGTATGCAGGTGCGCTCGGGTTGTGGTGAGAAGAAAACGGTCGATGGGGTAAGTCGGCTTCGGGGCAGATGAGGCAAGTTCCTCGTGCCCGTTGAAGTTCTCTGCCGTCGGGTAGTAGTAGCGAATCTTTGTCGAGGACTCCTGCTCGTATTGTGTTATTTAATACTGTGTTGCTTGGATGTCCTGTGCGTGCGTGCCAGATGTCTTCAGGAGCGCGATGTCCAGGTGAGCGTTGATACGCGTCGGAGTTGGAGTAGAAGCTGGCGACGACATTGGCGCTTTTGTGGACTTCTCGTTGAGTCGGGTTCAGTTGCTGTGCGGGTGTTGGTGGTGCTTCGTGGACGATGATTGGTGTCGTTGGTCCTGCTGCTGCCGATGATGTTTCTGCTGCTGTCGATGTTGTCTCTGCTGCTGCCGATGTTGTCTCTGCTGCTGCCGATGTTGTCTCTGCTGCTGTCGATGTTGTCTCTGCTACTGCCGTTTGTTGAATTGTTACTAACGCTCGTGTTTGTTCTGCTTCAGGGATGGTGTGCGAGTACCAGAAACCTCCCGGGCTGAAGTCGGGATTGAGATCCGGGGGATGTGTCCAATCGGCGAAGTTGACGATGGCGTCGCTATCTGCAGTGCCAAGGTCGGGGACGAAATCGAGGACGAAGACGTTATTCTTCCAAACTGCTCTTCCGATGTAGAGGCCGCCCTTCCCGTGGTACAGTTTAAACTCCTGGGTGGTGCTGTCGGCTTCCAAGTGGATGCCTTTCGCCATCAGCTGGCTGCCACTCAGTAAGTTATAACCGAGTCCTTCTGCGATGAGTACCTTTGACATGTGCCGTATGACGTTTGTCTCTCTTGATTGAAGCTGAACTACTCCTTGTCGTCGTGTGCGCAGGTTCTGGTTGTTGGCGACCGTGATGACTACTTCTCGCTGGAGTCGATGTTCGCGTTGAACGAAGCGTCCCGAGGAGCACATATGTTGTCCGCAGCAACTATCCAAGAACCAGGTGTCTTGCCCGGACGGTTCGCTTTGAGCGATGGCGGCGTACGTCGGATTCGGTTGGAGTGACTCGCGGCGAGGCGTCCTGTTGTCGAGCTCTTCTTCCGGTGAGTAGTGAGGTGGTGATTCGGTTGTGCACGAATAAGTTATCTTCACCATGCAATTGACAATGTTTCTTGCTCCTTGTGCAGATTGTCCTGTTGGAGTCGTTGAAGCTTGGATTGAGGTCGTCGGATTTGCTTGTGTTGAGGCAACTTGGGAGCTTGAAGGCCGGAGTTATCGCTGTGGTGTTGTCTGACGAGACGGGCAGTGCGTGCGAGGGTGTCCCGAAGTCTTGCAGATGTGGCAAAACGGAGGTACCGTCTTCACTTGTTGCTGTTGTCGATTGTTGTTGTTGTTGTATCGTCACTGAGTGTGAAACGCAAACTCCGGTGCTAATGTTTTCTTCTTGTGTCTTTCTTCTTGCAGGTCCATGTCCTGCTGCTCGGCATGAATTTCGGCGCAGAGTGCCGCTTCGAAAATCCTCCTGTGTGCTCGTAATATGGCGCGAGTGGAGCGCCAGTGGGGGCCGAGACCGCCGATGACCACCGTGACAAAGGCGTCTTCTGAAATCGGCCCTCCGCATCGAAGAAGCTTGTCGTGCAGTTCGCGGCAGCGGCTGATATAAGCCATGCCTTTCTCGCCTGGTTTCATTTCAATTGTTGTCAACTGCGCCATTAACCTGCTTTGATTTACGCTGTCTGTTGCTTGATACAGGTTCTTCAGGTGGTTGTACGCGAGCTCCGCGGAGTTGCCGTAGCCTCGGTAAGTCCTGATGTTCTGCTGCAGGGTCGGGGTGATGTTTCTTAGCAGTATCGTGTACGCCATCATTGATTGATAGGTGTACTGCTGCTTCTCATATTGTGTCCCGTTTGTTGGATATGGCAGGGACCCGTCGAAGAAGCCGAGAATCTGTGCTCCTTCCATCATCAGTTCGAACTCGAACGACCAGGTGAAGAAGTCTTTTCCGTCGAAAGGCTTTGTCGTTTGCAGCTTGAGAGCATGCGCGAATTGCGATTGAACTTGTAATGCGTCCAATGCCCTTTCTTGTCCCGGTGCAGATTGCGGTTTTGGCATGAAGCTGACGGAGCCACGCTGGGGCTCGTACGGCGCAAAGGTAGGCTGCTGTTGTTGTTGTTGAATTCCGCGTGCGTAGGATGAGCCGTCGAGACTCATAGGAGTTACGTTGTTGTTGTTGTCAAACATTATATATATTGTTGTAGTTGTTTAGGCTACAGTGGGTTAACCTATAGGGGGTACACACTTCTAGGTTTCCATATTTGTACTCATTTCATTCTTAGTCATTTCATTCCTTGTTCAACATGGTATAGAGCAGGTCCTTCCTAGGACCGTTTTTCCTAAGGGCCCACCACTACCTACCTGCCTATCTGCCTACCTGCCCTAGGGCGCCTCGACGTTCACGCCTCTAGAGGCCTTGTAGGCCCCGCGCTGTTGCACCTAGAGGCCCAGAATCGGCCCCGCGCCTAACCCTAACGGCCCGCGTCGGCCCCGAGCTCGTCCCCTAGAGGCCCGCGTCGGCCCCGCGCCTACCCTAGAGGCCCGCGTCGGCCCCGAGCCTACCCCTAGAGGCCCGCGACGGCCCCGTCCTTACCCCTAGAGGCCCGCGACGGCCCCGTCCCTACCCCTAGAGGCCCGCGACGGCCCCGATCCTACCCCTAGAGGCCCGCGTCGGCCCCCGTCCCTACCCCTAGAGGCCCGCGTCGGCCCTGTCCCTACCCCTAACAGCCCGCGTCGGCCCCGTCCCTACCCCTTTCGGCCCGCGTCGGCCCCGTCCCCAACCCCACCCGCTCCCCGCGCTCCCCTTAGCCGCCTCGAACGGCCCCACCTAGACCACGCCGCCCGAACCGAGCCGCGACGCCCGACCCGAGCCGCCCGAACCGAGCCGCGCCGCCCGACCCGAGCCGCGCCGCCCTACCTATACCGAGCCGCGCCGCCCTACCTGTACCGAGCCGCGCCGCCCTACCTACCTACTGCTCCTACTACTTTTACTACTGCTGCTACCATGGCTAGCCCTCCAGTACTAGCCTTCGATGCTGAGGGGCGCCCAGTGAAGTTCGACACCTGGCTTGATGACCTACACCTCTTCCTACAGCTCACTGCCAAGGAAGACATCTCGCTGTACGATCACGCCCTAGGCCACGCTACTGCTCCTGCTGCTACTGCCGACAGCACTGCTCGCTCACAGTGGCAGACTCGTGACGCCCATGCTCGCTTCGCTATCCGCAACTCTCTGCCGATAGATGAGCGCGAGCACTTTGGGCAGCACTAGACTGCACAGGCACTGTACACTGCTGTCGTTGCCCGCTACTCCTCACCGGCCTCTGCTGCTCTAGGCCGTCTCTCTCTTCCCTACCTGTTCCCCGACTTAGCTTCCTTTCACACTATCGCTGACCTCATTACCCACCTCCGCACTAGTGAGGCTCGCTTCCGCGCCGCTATGCCTGATGAGTTCCTTGCCACGGACCCACCCCCGCTCTGGATCACTCTCTACCACCTAGTCACGCGCCTCCCTGACTCGCTGCGCTCAGTCAGGGACCACTTCCTCGCTCGCTGCCCCACCGAGCTCACCATTGCCCTCCTCGAGAAGGAACTCTTTGCAGCCGAGACTAGCATAGTCGCTGTAGGTGCCTCTCGCGGTGAACCCCGCACCCCGTTCTTTGAGGGGTGTTCTCCCTCCCCCCTTCTTCCCTCTGTCGCCTCTGCTGCTGCTGTCGACCTCCTTGGTGCTGAGAAGGTCGGGACTGCGTCTGCTTCGGGCAGACGCCGCAATGGCAAGGGCAAGGGGGGCAAGGGCGGTGGTGGTGACAGCGGGGGTGGCAGTGGTGGGGGAGGTGGTGGCGGGGGGAGTGGCGCGGGTGGGGGAGGTGGCAGCGGTGGTGGGGGTGGCGGCAGCGGCGGGGGAGGTGGCCGGGGCGGAGGAGGTAGTGGGGGTGGCGGTGGACGAGGCCGCGGCACGGGTTGGGGTGGTCGAGGAGGTGGTGGCGGGAGTGGTGGGCGTGGCGGCACTGGCGGTGGCCAGAGACAGCAGCACACTCCCTCACCCCAGGAGGTCAGTGAGTGGTACTCTCAGCACGGGGGGGGGGGGGGTGGCCTTAGCTGCACGTACGTCATTCGCACTGGTGACCGCACTGGCCAGCCGTGTGGGGGACCGCACGCCACACAGCGTTGCTTCGCTCGTCTGAGCGACGCTTGGCGTGTTCAGTTCCCTCAGGCCACTGAGCTGCCCCGCTGGCTTGATCTCCTGAAGAAGGGGATTGATATCTATGCTCTAGATTTTGATGCTATTCTCTCTGCCATGTATGTGATGTCTACTAGTGGAGAGGGTTCTGAGTACCTGAGTGTCCCGCCCGACCCGGGCATTAGGACGAGTGCGTCTGCTGCTCCAGGTACCCACGTGTCTGCTACCCCAGGTGCTGGTGAGGCTGCTGCTCTAGGTGCGTGCGTGTCTGCCCCCCCTGGTACTGTGTCGACTGCAGCACTGCACACCTTCACGCTGGATTCAGGTGCCTCTCGCTGTTTCTTTCGTGACCGCACTGCCCTTGAGCCCCTTGCTCGGCCAGTTGCTGTCTCCCTTGCTGACCCCTCTGGGGGTCCGGTCATTGCGACCTCCTCCACTGTCCTTCCCTGTCCTGCGGTCCCGTCGGGCACACTGTCAGGTCTCCACCTCCCCTCGTTCTCCACGAACTTGGTGGCAGGTTCTGCTCTCCAGGACGGGGGTGTTCACCAGTTCACCCCTGCCTACGAGCGTGTGACACACTGCACATGTGCTTGTACGGGCCGCCACTTGGCTACCTTCACCCGGCAGCCGGGGTCGGACCTGTACACACTGACTACTGCCTCCCCTCAGGTCGCTGCGTCTGCGTCTGCGTTTGCGTCCGCGTCAGGTCAGCTGTCTGCCCCCTGCTCGTGTCGCTCTCTAGCGCACGAGACTGTCCTCTGGCACCACCGACTTGGCCACCCGTCTGTGCAGCACCTTCGTGCCATGCACTCCCGGTACCTTGTCTCTGGTCTTCCCAGGGTTCTCCCTCCTCTCCCACCCTCGCCTGCTCCTCCCTGCCTTCCCTGTGTCGAGGGGCGGCAGCGCGCCGCTCCTCACTCCTCCTCGTTTCCCTCGACGACTGCTCCTTTGCAGACGCTCCACATGGACGTGTGGGGCCCAGCCCGCGTCCGTGGTCAGGGTCAGGAGAGGTACTTCCTGATCGTTGTTGACGACTACTCGCGCTACACCACGGTCTTCCCCTTGAGCACCAAGGGTGAGGTCCCTGATGTTTTGATCCCTTGGATCCGCAGAGCTCGTCTCCAGCTCAGAGAGCGTTTCTGCTCGGACTTTCCTGTCCTGCGCTTGCACTCTGACAGAGGTGGTGAGTTCTCCTCCAACCTCTTGGCAACCTACTGTGCTGAGCACGGCATTGAGCAGTCGTTCACGCTTCCGGCCTCTCCACAGCAGAATGGGGTTGCGGAGCGCCGCATTGGCCTGGTCATGGAGGTCGCTCGTACCTCCTTGATCCATGCGGCTGCCCCCCATTTTCTGTGGCCGTTTGCGGTCCGGTACGCTGCGCATCAGCTCAACCTCTGGCCCCGTGTCTCCTTGCCGGAGACCTTGCCCACACTGCTGTGGACGGGGGAGGTTGGCGATGCGTCGCGTTTCCGGGTCTAGGGATCTCGAGCTTTTGTTCACGATTCGTCTGCAGACAAGCTCTCCTCTCGTGCTGTTCCCTGCGTCTTCCTTGGCTTTGTTCCGGACGCGCCTGGTTGGCAGTTTTACCACGCCACCTCGCGCCGGGTCTTGCCCTCTCAGGACGTCACTTTTGACGAGTCTGTCCCCTACTACCGCCTCTTCCCCTACCGCACTGCCCCGCTCCCACCCCCGCCTCTCTTCCTCGCGCCAGGTACTGCTGTCGTAGACCCCCTCCCCCCTCAGGGTGCCGCTCCCTCAGGTGTGTCTCAGGTAGACCCGGTCGAGCCTGTTGAGGTTGCTGTCGACTCTCGTCCTGCTGGGGGTGCTGAGCCTGGGGGTGCGGACGCTGGGGGTGCTGAGCCTGGGGGTGCGGACACTGGAGGTGCTGGGCCTGGGGGTGCGGACTCTGGGGGTGCTGAGCCTGGGGGTGCGGACTCTGGGGGTGCTGAGCCTGGGGGTGCGGACACTGGGGGTGTTGAGCCTGGGGGTGCTGTGCCTGGGGGTGCTGAGCCTGGAGGTGCGGGGATTAGGGGTGCTGAGCCTGGCGGTGCTGCGCCAGGGGGTCCTACGCTTGGACGACACCTCTCCTCGGAGCAGTTGCGTGAGTGGTACTTATAGTACTGCAGCCTCCGGAGAGGTACCTCTGGGACCAGGCGCGCTACGGAGACTGGTGCTGGCACTTCTCCTTCTAGTCGGGAGCTCCCCTCTCGTGAGCGGATCCGTGAGTGGTACGAGCGCCGTTGCACACTTCGTAGTGGCGCGCCTCGTCTCACGGACCCTGCTACTGCTGGTGCTGCGGACCCGAGCGTTGGAGCTGCTGCTGGTGCTGCGGACCCGGGCGTTGGAGCAGCTGCTGGTGCTGAGGACCCGGGCGTTGGAGCTGCTGCTGGTACTGCGGACCCGGGCGTTGGAGCTGCTGCTGGTGCTGCGGACCCGGGCGTTGGAGCTGTTGCTGGTGCTGAGGACCCGGGCGTTGGAGCTGCTACTGGTACTGCGGACCCGGGCGTTGGAGCTGCTGCTGGTGCTGAGGACCCGGGCGTTGGAGCTGCTGCTGGTGCTGAGGACCCGGGCGGTGGAGCTGCTACTGGTACTGCGGACCCGGGCGTTGGAGCTGCTGCTGGTGCAGAGGACCCGGGCGTTGGAGCTGTGACTGGTGCTGAGGACCCTGGTGTTGGAGTCCCTGCTGGTGCTGCGGACTCGGGAGTTGGTACTGCCGCTGGGGGCACTGGTGCTGTCCCTGCTGTGTCTGGAGTCGCCGCGCGCCCTCAGCCGTACTTCGTTCCGCTCCTTCAGCAGGTTCTTGGTCTCTCGCCTCCTCCTGGTCCTCCCCCTCCTTTAGTGTGTCCGCAGCCTGTTCAGTCACTGCCTGCTCCTTCTCCTTACTCTGGTCCTACTGACGGTCTTACTGAGCGTCGTGAGCCTGCGTCTCGCCCTGCGTCGCCTGTCCGTCCTCCTAGCACTAGTGCTCGTAGTTCGCGTCCACGTCCTCCTCCTGCCCCTGGCACGCACCGGATGTCTCTGTGTCCTTCGACTGCTCCTCTGCGTGCCCCTTTGCCTTCTCCTCCTACTTCCTCTCTTCCTGCTCTTGTCGACCCTACGTCGGACTCTCTTTGTGCTGCCAGTCCTACTGTCACGCGTCTCCTTGCTACTGCCGTCACTGACCCTTCCTTCGAGTCTTCTGCTGCGTCTGCCCTAGTTGCTGAGCTCGTCGACTTTGCTGCTCGCTGTCGTCTAGACTACGCTGCTAGTCTTGTCGCTGAGTCTGAGTCTGTCTGTCCTCCGTCCGTCGGGGGTGCGTGTGCCCTTGGCACGGACGTCCTTGAGGACAGGCAGGAGGAGTTTCAGTGCTTGGCTGCCGCCTCACCTCATCTCGCGTCTGTACTGCTAGCCCCTGAGGGAGACCCGGATGCACTAGACATCCCGACCCCGCGCTCTTACGCGGACGCGATAGAGGATCCCTACTCCTCTCAGTGGCAGGCAGCTATGGATGCAGAGATGGCTTTCTGGAAGTCCACAGGCACCTACGTTGACGCTGTCCCCCCTCCTGGGGCGAACATCGTCAGTGGCATGTGGATCTTCAGGGTGAAGCGGTCGCCGGGTTCTCCGCCTGTCTTCAAGGCGCGTTACGTGGCTCGTGGCTTCAGTCAGCGGCAGGGAGTTGACTACTTTCAGACCTTCTCCCCCACCCCGAAGATGACCACTCTTCGGGTACTCCTACACGTTGCTGCTCACAGGGACTACGAGCTTCACTCTCTCGACTTCAGCACTGCTTTCTTGCAGGGCAGCCTGCACGAGGAGATCTGGTTGCGTCGCCCACCTGGCTTCACTAGGTCTTTCCCTCCTGGTACCCAGTGGAGTCTCCGGCGTCCAGTCTACGGTCTCCGCCAGGCGCCACGTGAGTGGCACGACACACTGAGGACTACGCTGGCGGCACTTGGGTTTGCTCCTTCTACTGCCGACCCGTCGCTGTTTCTGCGCACCGACACTTCTCTGCCGCCGTTTTACATCCTCGTGTACGTCGACGACTTGGTCTTTGCCACTGCTGACACTGCTGGACTCGCCTACGTGAACTCCGAGCTGCACAAGAGACACACGTGCACTGACGTGGGTGAACTGCGCAGCTACCTTGGCTTGCAGATCACCCGGGACAGAGCACGCCGCACCATTACCCTGACTCAGTCACACATGGTGCAGCAGGTCCTTCAGCGCTTCGGCTTCACGTACTCCTCGCCTCAGGCCACTCCTCTGTCTACTCGCCACTCGCTCTCAGCTCTGCCTTCGGATGAGTCAGTAGAGTCGAGTGGCCCGTACCCAGAGCTTGTTGGCTGCCTCATGTACCTGATGACCTGCACACGACCTGACCTTGCATACCCTCTTAGCATTCTTGCGCGCTATGTTGCTCCTGGGAGACACCGACCAGAGCACATGGCTGCAGCGAAGAGGGTGTTGCGCTACTTGTGCAGTACGTCGGGCATGGGAGTAGTGCTTGGAGGGCGGAGTCCAGTGGTCCTCACTGGTCACGCGGACGCTTCTTGGGCTGACGACCAGGCTACGCAGCGGTCGTCACAGGGTTACACCTTCAGCCTTGGTTCCGGCTCTGTTTCGTGGCGGGCTACTCGCTCGTCTTCTGTTCTCGGCTCCAGTTGTGAGGCTGAGATCTACGCTGGGGCCATGGCTGCTCAGGAGCTTCGGTGGCTCACCTACCTGCTGACCGGCCTTGGAGAGCCGCCTCGTTCTCCTCCAGTCCTGTACGTTGACAACAAGGCCATGCTGGCCTTGTGTCGAGAGCAGCGACTGGAGCACAGAACAAAGCACATTGCTCTCCGCTACTTCCTTGCTCGTGAGCTACAGCAGCGTGGTCAGTTGCGACTTGCGTACGTGGCCTCTGAGGCCAACACTGCTGATGTTTTCACCAAGGCACTTGCGCCTTGTGATCATCAGCGCTGCTGTACCCAGCTGGGTCTTGTGTATGTCTTGCCTCACTTGCTCTCCTCTTGACCCTCTTTGTACTATTACATATATATATCACTGCTCTTGCTTGTTTAGTCTTATATATATATATGTGTACTCCTGCATGTGAACTGGCCTTGTGGCCTTGAACTTGTGCTCGGATTGTGTGGTGACATTGTGATCCACCTTGAGCTTGCTTTGCTTTACTTGACTGGTCTTGTGACCCCTAGTTCTCCCCCACTTCGCCTATGGGGTTGTGTTAAACATTATATATATTGTTGTAGTTGTTTAGGCTACAGTGGGTTAGCCTATAGGGGGTACACACTTCTAGGTTTCCATATTTGTACTCATTTCATTCTTAGTCATTTCATTCCTTGTTCAACAGTTGTTGCTGTTGTTTGACTGCGCAGGTACTCCTTGCTGGTGCTGCTCGTAGAAGGACATGAAGGAGAAGAATTTCTCCATCATGCTTGGATCGAAGCCTGCGGGCGTTTCCGTAGACCCAGCTGCTGGTCTCGTGGTAGTCGCTTCTTCCGTTAGTAGACCAGAGACAGGAGGTGGAGTAGGGGTAGTGCCTGGAGAACCGTTGGAGGAGCTCCTCTCCTTCCTAGTAGACATGTCTTCCTTGTATTAAGTATTAAGAGAGAAAGTAACTTTGAACTCTATCTGCTCTCATACTATGTTGGGCTGAGATGCCCTAGGATCTTTGTAGAGTTGAAGTCTGAGTAGGATAGCGTTTGAATAAAAAGTCCTTGAGTAGTATGTGAGGGCAAAGTAAGTTTATTAAAACAAGCAAATACAAGGCTTTTTATAAGAGTACAAAGAATACGAATAGATATAATTAAACTGTTTTGCTGTTGCGATTCGATACAGTGCGACTCGGGCAACTGCTCAATGTCGAGTCAGTTGTCTGTCCTTGCTGTCGCGCTGCATTTGTCAAGTCAAAGGTCGCTGACTTTTGACCTCCGCGTAACCTCCAGGCGGTTACCCTAACCTCCGAGGGTTGACTCGCGATGCTTCGATTTGGACTGCTTCGCTTGTTTTCTGAGTTTCGACACAACAGATGCGCTTTAAGACTTATTGTTCCCAACAAGTGCAAGGAATTTCCCTTCTTCCTTACCGGGGTTGACTGCTACGCGTACAATCCCGACAATCGGACTTCGCACGTTCGGCCAACATCCAAGATGCCGAGGCTACCCCGCGTCGCCTTCGGCGGCTTTTCGATCGCCAAACCTGCACCCAACCTTGTTTTCCCGAGGTTCCCTCCTACCTAGGTTAGTCAATATATTAGCGCGTGCCTTCATTGTCCTGTCAGTTCATTCAGTCACAAGCCTCACGAAGTACTTTCCATCATTCGATCTTGCATGCTATATCAACCTTGTTTGTATTCCCCAATATCAACCAGTTCTCATTCAACTCTTCTTCAACTACTGAGTAACTTCTTCGCCTATTTCGCTATTAGTTCTTTCGCCAAAGTCTTCCGCCGCGTTTCATCCTAGACTTAGTCGACCCCGCTAATTCTTTAGCGGACTTAGGCCAGTGGGCCTAACACGGACGGTCAAATCCGAGGATGTACCAGATTCAATGTGATCACCTGCTTGTCACGTAAATATTTCCGCTAGATCGGTGTGTGTGTTGATCTCCCCCTCCGCAAATCAGCGATTATATAATGTTTCTGTTAGGAGAGGAGGGACTGGGCAGTTGTGGTTAGCTGCGAACTGTCACATCTGTCATTTTCCGAACAACAGGCTGCCATGGCGGTGACCTGCTTTGTAGACTACAGTATTTCGAATCACTACTAGTCAACTTAACACGAAGCAGAATCTCGCACTCAACTTCTCTAGTGGGACTCCTCTCCTATTTAGAAACACGCTTATTTTGAGAAGAGGGGTGGGAAGGTGGTGTGCCTGTGAGGAGATTGCCAAAACAGGCTGGGAGGAGTAAATGAAGAGGGAGTTGCCTCACGAGCCCCTCCCTCAGTCGTATGCACGGTAATTTCTGCTCGATGTCGGGTCAAACGGTAGCGATTCTGATTGTATTGTATCGATGTCCCGACTGAACAGGCGGCCCACAAGAGAATGGTGAGGGTTGTCGCCTCTTGCCGCCCAACCAAACCGATCATAGAACATTCTTATGTAATCGGCCGCGAACAGGGACTCCTCGTTAGCTGACAGACGATCAGTGTCGAACCACACGTCCTTACAACGCCGCCCCTTCGCTCCTTACTACCCGCGTCTGCGCTCTCGGAATCCGCCAGCTCACACGGCCAGGGATGGGGAAACACGGGAACCGGGGAAGCGTGCTTCGGTTCGTGACGTAGTTGTTGTTGTCCACTGGGCGCGAAGGTGCGGAGAAGCATGCGGCAGGGAGCGGAGGAGGGAACACGAACAGCAGGAACAGAAGCTGAAGACTGTTCAACCTTCTTATCACATGGTCGAAATCTGACGAACTTGCCTTCGCCCCTTCAGTAGTATTTCCCGACAGATCCCGTGACGACAGACCATCACGTGACGCGATCATCCTGCTCCGTCAGCTTCTCGTCATTGCTCCCCCCGTTCACGTGATCCGTCGAGTTGGAAAATTCCATCTGCGGCGATTGAAACTTGAGTAGGACACAGTCTAGATATTTCGCCCCTAGATGCGCGTTCGCGTGTAGGTGATGACGCACAATCGCTCAACGCCAAGCCAATCGGTAATAGCAACTGAAATTCGTCGATTTCGCGTTTGATGCAGACCACTCCCGCCACGCTTGACTCCAAGTGCGAGGTTGCGATGCCAAAGTCGTTCCTTAGGCTCCTGAAAAGGCAACGCCCGCGTCGAGACAGATCGTGGCTATAGAGCTGCCATCCCGGCGTGAGAAACCTCCTCCCGCATTAAAGATGTCCTCTCGTGGTGGCTGGACGGTGGACATGGCTCGCGGCTGTGGGAGCTGGTTCGCACTGCTGGAAGCTAGTATCTGCGAGTCTCAGTGCCGCGTTTCCAGGAGCTCCCTTCGGTGGTTACCAGCATCCTCGCGCTCCTTCTTTTCGCCTTCAACTCGTGGCGGCTGCGGCCCTGGCAATCACAGGCCACGTAGTAGGAGGAGAGGGAGTAGTAAGGAAGGCGTTGAAGCTACGGCGGTACTATACTCACCTTTTCCCTCCTGCATTCTATAAACGTTTACTCCCCTTTCCTGTAATCCGGGCTATCGAGACCTCGCAGCCATTTCTTGGACTTCCGCGTCGATGCTTCCTGCCTTGTAGGTGCTTCGGATTTGCCAGCTTGTATCTCGCTGGGTAGCTCCGCTCCGCACCAGGAGTTACACCTCCCAGTGACCTTCAAGCCAAGCATCCTTGAAGCAAACCAGAGAACATCTGACCTACAGAGATGGACAGACGGCGTCTTTATACGGATGAGGAGGAGAGTGGTCCTTTGGCGGAGCTGCTGAGGCGCCACGGGCCATTTACCTTCGAGGCGCCTCAAGAATCGCATATAGGGACTGAGGAGGAGGAGAGTGGTCTCTTGGCGGAGCTGGTGAGGCTCGAGGGACAAGTTGAAGAGCCCATTGTGGCAGCAGCCCTCGTGTGTCCGCCTACCCCACTTCTCAAGGTGCCTCGAGGCTCCAATGGGAGCACTGGGCAGGCGCTGTTGAGGCGCCAGGGACAGCTTGAGGAGCTCGCCATGGCGCCTTGCATGCAGCGTCGGCTGAATGTGAGTCCCCAGGAGCCCGTGCAGTCTCCGTCCCTTTCACATGCTCAAGTTCCTGTTTTGGAACGAGCCGTGGTGGAGCTGTTTCAGGAACAGCAATGGCAGCAGCGGCAGCGGCGGCGGCGGCAGCAGCAGCATCAAGTGGCAGTGGAGAGCTGGAGCGCACATGGTTTGAGCGCATCTGGAACAGACGGTATGGCGGTAGCAGGCGTTGGTGGTGATGTCGCTACCATTGATAAGTTTGGTGCAGCATCGGCCTCTCTGGTGCAACAGCAGCAAGTGGCGGTCAGAAGCTGGGTGGCACAGGCTGAGCTGGCAGGGCTGTCTCTGCCGCCCGATTTGATCCAAGAATCTGTGCATGCCGCCCGTTACGCGCAGATGCAGATGCGGATGGAGGAGCAAGGGGGGATGGGCGATTCTCGTGTGCATGAGATGCTTGAGTATTCTCAAGGGCACGCTGAGGTGGAAAAACCAGCCCTGGCTTTCCCGGTGTGGCTGGAGGAGGGTAGGTGCTTAGGTGCAAGCCAGGAGGAGGGGGGGGTGCTGGAGGGGATGCTGATGCTGGAAGCTTTGATGTTGCAGGATGGGGGGATGCAGGAGGGAGGGATGATGTGGGGTGGCGGGATGGAGGGAGCGATGCTGCACGAGGGAGGGACGATGCAAAGTTGTTCTTTTGAGGCGCCTCTAGGGTGCACAGTACAGGAGGGACAAGGGATGAACAGCATGGACCCTGCATTGTCAGGCGGCCTTGCCGGGCCCGCCAGCGCCTGCCTTAACTCACACGACGATGCATCTCTTGCGGCCTCCCCAGCATCACGCCTTGCTGTTGCAGCTGTTGCTGCTGCTGCCTGTCCGCTCCCTGCTTTCTTCACGCCCACCGCTCCTGGTGTTTGCTGCACGCCTGGCTGTGCTGGTGCTTGCTGTTCACCTGCTGCCACTCCTGGTGTGTGCCATGAGGGAGAATGGGGTCACGCCGTGACAGTGCAAGAGGCTCCTGCCACGTGGACGTCCCTGATTGGTTCGGAGAAGGTACTGCAGTGGTCGAAAGTGAGGGGAGTATCGGACGAGAGGGAAGTGATTAAGGCAGAGTGGGCGGAGAGAAAGGAAGAGACGGGAGTGAAAGAGGCAAAGCGGAAGGAGGGCGGGTGGGAAGGGGAGGACTGGCGACCGCGCATTCGAGCACGATTGGATGGGCAGGCGGTGGGGCTGGGATGCATACAGGCCAGGAGCATGAAGGAGAGGCACCGCCGCGATCGCATCAGGTGACCGTTCTTCCCTCCATTCCTCTCTAACCTTCCCGCTGTTTGCTCCCGTTCGTTCCCTTCTCTTTTCCATTTTCACCCTCCCCTTCCTCCTCCTCCTCCGCCACCACCCGCCCCATTCTCTTCCTCCTCTCCCCCTGTCCACTACGGCTTCCTCCTTCCTCTTCTTTCCCCTCCCCCTCCTCTTCCCCTCCCCCTCCTCTTCCCCTCACCCTCCTCTTTGTGTGGAGCCCTATCTGCCATTTGCATTGATTGGACATTCAGTGGGCAGTTGGCCTTGTGTGTGACACGTGAGTTACTTTCTTTCGAGGCCTGTATCAAGTGAGCATGTGACCTTCTTCTATTCCTGTGCATACTTTGGATGTGATTGTATCAGGAGAGGCCTAGAAAAGCTTCGTAGGGTGCTACCCCCATCTCTCACAAGAGCACAACTCGATACAGCCACAATGGTGGAGTCTGCCCTCTCTCACATACGAGACCTACAGGTACACTCACCGGTTTTCTATACTGTAGTATCTTTCGAATCAATGTTGGCGATTGTTAGCAACTACTACCGCTGACGCGTAAGCATGTTCAAAGTGTGCGCACGTTGCATGCCAGGCACGTGTCACCGTCTCTTAGAGCTCAAACAATCCTAGAGTCACCTTGTAGAAGTTTCTGATCACGTGAGGAGCTGCTTCTGGTTTCCAATGGTTTGCTGTTCATGCATCCATGCAGGTCCAAATTGAAGCATTGGAGAACTCGACAGGTGCTGCCGTCAAAACACCGAGATGTGCAGCAGAGGAGGCAGCATGTGGCTCAGCAACGCCCTAGGTGCTTTTGGGTGACTCCTGAGTCGATTCAAACGTCACCTTGCTGCAGTTCCCTGCACTTTCTCAAGAGTACAGACCGTTTCTCCTGGTGCTAAGATGTCCAAAACGATGGGCCTCAGAGACTGCTGATATCATAGCATGGCATGGCAATGTTTCATCTGAAATCGTGATGTCGTGACATGCTGGTTGATTATAGTTTGTAGTGTAGTCAGCTTTATTGACAGATGAATCAGCATACATAGTGTAATATTATCTGCATTGTTTGTGCATCTATTGTAGTTCTACAGAGCAGTGCATGGTGCGATGCATCACCCGATTGAACCATACGGTACCATACAACATAGGTTGATTGAACATTCGTTTCGGGCATTCTTTTGTGCGATGAAAATTTGACGAATCTGAGGCCCTGGTCGCATGTGTGGCTGACGATCAATCCTTCATAACGCATTCCGGTCTGTATATACCGGTACATTGCTGAGTTGCCATCACCCCATTTTGCTTCCATTCACCCCAGCACGAGCGGCAGAAGCATGGCAGAGTCTCCAGGGAACTTCCAGGTGGCGAGAGGGGAGAGTGCCGTGGCTTCCACATTGAACTCCGCACCCGCCCCCCTGCCGCCCGCACCACCCGAGCAAACCCCGCTGCTGGCTGCACCTCCCACCGAGGTGCATCCGGGTGGGTTGACAGAGGGGAAGGGGAGGGAACGGGTGAGGTGAAGAGGATGGAAGGAGGTGAGATGGGAGGGAGTGGGTTTAGTGATGCCACCTAACCTCCTGTCAGGGCCTCGGAACACAGATCTTGTCAGGGAAGAGGAGAGCAGGAGTACAGCATAAAAGGAGCACGAGAAGTGGACTGCTTGTTGGTGTAGCCTGTGATGAACCCAGTGCTGGCAGCGGAGGACCAGGGGAGGAATGGATGGGAGTATACATGCACACAAATACAACATGCCGTTGATGTGTATCATGCACGCTGCCTCACATGCACACACACACACACACACACTGCCTCATATGCACACACACTGCCTCATATGCACACACACACACTGCCTCATATGCACACATACACACGCTGCCTCATATGCACACACACACACGCTGCCTCATATGCACACATACACACAGTGCCTCATATGCACACACACACACACACACACGCACACACACACACACACACTGCCTCACATGCACGCACACACACACACACACACGCACACACACACAGTAGCTCACATGCACAACACCGGATGTTCCGACATTGAGCAGCAGGTCGCAGCCAGTGAGGGCGTCCTCTGCTGCTTGCACCACCCGCGGATCCAAACACTCCCCGAACCACACCACGTCCGGCCGAAGCAACCCATTGCAGGGTCAGCTTGAAGCTGCACTCCCGGGCAGCTTGGTGCAGCGCGGCAGGTCCTTGAGAGCTATGCTCGCTGCCTTGGCACCCTCGCTGGGCGCTCCCTGCAGCAATGCAGCCAAGAAGGGAGCAGCAATGCACAATTCCATCAATCAAGGATTTACCATCACTGCACTTTCCCCAACCCCTCACTGAACCTTACATTACAGCATTCTTCCCAAGCCCCTCCCACCATTGCCAACCGTCCCCATTTCGCCCATCCTTTTTCAACCCCAGTACCTTGCCCTCCAGAGCAGCGCAGATGGGTTGAGTGCGGTTCTCTGAGATGTCCCCACAGGTTAGGCAGCGGGTGCGCCAGAGGCAGCCATGCAGCTCCACCAGCGCGCTGCTGCCCGCCGCTGTGTGCAGCCCGTCCACGTTCTGAGGTTTGCCAGGGGATGGTGAGGGGTGACGATGGGTGGGGGGCGATGGTGGGCATGCCGCCAATGCACAGCGAGGAGTGCAGCAGGGCCGTGCAGGCAAGACGAGGGCACATGTGATGGCAGTGGTGCAAGCAGCTGAAGATGTTACTGCCCCAGCCGGGCATGGCCGTCCATCCACATTGCGATGCTGGCGAGGGGCATGGGGGCATGTGAGCCGTAAATAGTGGGAAAACAACATGGCACTAAGGCCTGGAGCCGGCAGAGGAACACGGGCACCTATGTGAGGAGCGTGAATGCCTTGCCCTCCCGCTGGCAGCGCTGCTCCAGCTGCACCAGCGCCTCTTGGCCCGCATTGGGTGTGCACCGTGCCACCACACTCCTGCCAGCCAGCCATGCCCAAGGAGGAAATAGTGGAAAGGAACAAGGGAGATAAAAACGAAATGGTAAGAACATGTTCCAAAAGTTCGTCTAAATGCGACTATAAAAGGCTAGGCACGATCTAGAGCGGTCAATTCAAGATTTAGAATAGCTCAGAAGGCTCGGACAACAAAACCACACTTGAGGCAAGAGCCTGCAGTGGTGGCAGACGGAAGGAAGGAAGTGGCTATAGTGGTGGTTGGCAGCAGGAGGGCAGCACCTGCGGTAGTGGTAGAACTCCCACACCAGCGATGGGTCCGCCGCAAACGCCTGTGGGGTTGCCAGCTCCTGTGGGTGCAGGGATGAGAAGGGCGAAGGTGAAAGGGGCGAGGGCGAGGGAAGGGAGGAAGGGGGGTGACAACTGATATGGCGTTATGAGTGCCGCACACAGCAAAGCAGCATGCGAGTGACCCACCACGGCGCATCACATCAACCAACACGAACTTCACGAAGCATGCAAGATGGCATGGCACCCACCGTGGCATGGCACCCACCGTGGCATCATAAGTGCGCCAGAGCCCACCCGCCCCTCTGAAGGTGGGCACGCCTGATGCTGCAGACACACCCGCCCCTGTCAGCACTGCCACACGCTGCACGGGAGTCACACACAGGGCAGTAGCCGGAGGGCGAGCAAAGGAAAGGCCTCACAAGGGGTGATGTAACAAGACGAAGGCGATCTCGCCTCCCTCGATTTCGCCAACTCAGCTCCTTGTGATCCGAATCAGAATTCGGAACACGCCCTAAGTACATTTCGGGAATTCAATGTTGGAATCCAACATTGAATTGTGCGGCTCGTAATTCTCAGTTTCCAACCTTGGGAACAATTCCAGAGAGCACGCTAGTGCTGGACACAACACGGCAGAGAACTCCAACAGCGCAGCAAAGCAATTGACAGCACAAGCAAGCATAGCTTCCTACAGCTATGGCTACTTCCAACGGTGCTCATGATCATCATTATCTACTATAGTGTGGACGACAACAAGACAAATAGTCTCTGCCCATGTGTTTAGTGAATTCCTAGGCTATGCTTATTGGTTCTAGGATATGACAACAAGGCTAGTATCTCTTGTAAATAATCATAGTGACTATGCCTTGCTGTTGTTAGCTCTAGGAATAATAATGGCGACCTGAGCGACCAGCTCGAGGCGCCCATACTAGTATCCTATTATATTAGGATGCATCTCTGAAATGTATGCCATCATATGATCTCTTGTAAAGCTATCTTACTACTTTCATCGTGAAATTCTCCTAAGAACGCTTCCTACTACTACTACTCTTCCAAAACAGCTTAGTGGCTGTTCCAGGTGACAACAATATGATTTGCAGGCGCCACCAAGCTATTATCGGTTCGATCACACTTCAATCCTCGGGCCCTGTGCACCCCCTCCTCTTTTTCCCCCCACTTCTCTTCGCATCACACACCTCCCTCCATCCCTGCAGCACGCCCTTCCACTTCAATCCAAACTCCCTCTCACTCCACCCCACTCCCCCCCTTCCCCCGAGCGCCCCCCCAAGCTTCAGCACCAACGCGCGCTTCACATCGATGCTCGCGACAGGCACTCTCTGAAATCGTCCACGTCAGCCTGACGTGGCTCGGCATTAGTCACGGCTGACGTCATCCTTCGCAAGGCCCTTCCTCGCCAGCTAGTCAGAAGCTTCGTGTCCTTTCCTGTGTGAGACCTGTCAGATTACTATAGCTGATGCATGTTTGTAGGCTATAGTGGGGTAGCACATATGGGGTACAGCTTTCTAGGGTTGTATTTGTACCCAACCCTGACTTAGTCATTTCATTCCTGTTTGCTTATTCTCACATGGTATAGAGCGGGTCCTTCTAAGGACCGTTTTTTTTGGGCCCACCGAAGCGCCCCCCGAGGCGCGATTTTTTTTAGCGACCCCTCGGGTCACCATTTCCCCTGCCGGCGGCCCTTACGCGGCCCCGCCGCCGGCCCTTACGCGGCCCGGTCGCCTCCTGGCGGCCCCGCCGTCCCTTCGTGACGGCCCCGCCGTCCCTTCGTGACGGCCCCGCCGTCCCTTCCTGACAGCCCCGCCGTCCCCTCCTGACGGCTCCTGCCGTCCCCTTCTACCGGCCCCGCAACTGCACCTGCTGGCCCAGCCGCTGCACCTACCGGCCCCCACCACCCCCCCCCCCCCCCTTTTCCCGTCGCCTGTCGAGGCGACCTGAGAGGCCAGCAGAGGGGTGTCAGGTGTGTGGCCTCCCCTGCTTCTCCTCCTCCTTCATCTCCCACTGCAGCAGCCGAGCCGCTCACCTGCAGCAGCCGAGCCGCCCCACCGCCGAGCCGCCCTGCACCCGAGCCGCCCAGCAGCCGAGCCGCCCTGCCGCCGAGCCGCCGGGTCGCTGAGCTGCTGAGCTGCAGTTGCTGCCGAGCCACCCTGCCGCCGAGCCGCCGAGTCACCGAGCAGCTGAGCTGCAATTGCTGTCGAGCCGCCTTGCCGCCGAGCCGCCCGAGTCGCCCGAGCCGCCGAGCTGCCGAGCTGCCGAGCCGCTGAGTCGCCGAGCCTACTCTTCCCACCACTGGTGAGCTCTTGCCTTGCTAGCACGCTGCGCGTCGCCTGCTTGCCTGCCTGCCTGCCTTTTGGCTTGCCTGGCTGCCTGCCTTCCTGCTGCTAGTCCTGCTCTTGCTTCTACTTGCGGAGCCAGATGCAGCCCCAGCGACGCCTGCGTGAGTCCCTCACGCCCCAGCAGCTGCGTGAGTGGTACGCTGGTTGGGGCTGTAGGGGTGGCGGCGCTACTCCTACTACCACTCCTGCTGCTTCTACTCGTGGTGGCGGCCAGATGCAGCTCCCGCGACCCTCTCGCGTGTCTCTCACTCCTCGCCAGCTTCGTGAGTGGTACGCCCAGAGTGGAGGGTCTCTCAGTGCTGTTCGCTGCTCTTACGCGATACGCACTGGTACTCGGACTGGTCAGCCTTGTGGGACACGTAGTCATACACCGTCCCGCTGCTTCGCCCGTCTGAGCGACGCCTGGCGTACCGTGTTTGGCGACGAGGCTGAGCTTCCCGACTGGGTGGAGTTGCTTAGGCAGAGGGTCGATATATATGCTCTTGACTATGATGCTATTCTCACTGCCATGTATGCATTGCCTACTAGTGCTGAAAGTGCCGGTCACCTGTGCGTCCCGCCTGACCCAGGTATAGGACCTGCTGCTCTAGCTACTGGTGAGGCTGCTGCTCTGGGTGCTCGTGAGTCTCCTGCTCCAGGTACAGGTGCGGCTGCTGCTCTAGGTGCTAGTGAGTCTGCTTCCTCAGGTGCGGGTGAGGCTGCGCTCTCAGGTACCGCGTTGGCTTCGGCCTCCCTCACCTTTACACTTGACTCTGGGGCTTCTCGCTCCTTCTTTCGGGACCGCACCACACTCACGCCGCTTGGTCGGCCGGTTGCAGTCTCCCTGGCTGACCCCTCTGGGGGTCCTGTCCTCGCTCACTTTTCCACTGTCCTCCCGTGTCCGGCTGCCCCCTCGGGCACCCTGTCTGGCCTGTACCTCCCCTCGTTCTCGACGAACTTGATGAGTGGTGCAGACCTACAGGATGCGGGGGTTCACCAGTTCACTCCTGCGAGTCAGCGGGTGACCCACTGCACGGACGCACGCACAGGCCGGCACCTGGCCACGTTCTCGCGTCGGCCGGGGTCGAGCCTCTACACCCTGACCACTGAGTCTCCTCCTGTCCCCGCGTCCGGTCAGGTAGCAGCGTCGGGTCAGGTGTTTGCTGCTGCGTCCAGGTCTGGTCCTGAGTCTGCCCCCTGTTCGTGTCGCCTCCTGTCTCACGAGACTCTTCTGTGGCACCACCGTCTAGGCCACCCCTCCTCCCCCGTCTTCGAGGCATGGCTTCCCGTGTCCTTGTCTCTGGTCTTCCCCAGTCTCTCCCTCCCCTTCCTTCGGGACCAGGACCTTCCTGTGTCCCCTGTGTCGAGGGGCGCCTCAGGGCTGCTCCTCACTCCTCCCAGTTTCCCCCGACAGAGGCTCCTCTGCAGACGCTTCACATGGACGTGTGGGGCCCGGCCCCCGTCCGTGGGCAGGGTCACGAGCGCTACTTCCTGTTGGTGGTTGACGACTACTCGCGTTACACCTTAGTCTTCCCCTTGCGCAGCAAGGGTGCTGTCACTGAGGTGCTGATCGACTGGATCCGCGAGGCTCGTCTCCAGCTCAGGAGGAGCTTCGGCTCGGACTTTCCTGTTCTGCGTCTGCACTCTGACCGCGGTGGGGAGTTCTCCTCTCGCCTTCTGCGAGCCTACTGTCGTGCACAGGGGATCCGCCAGACCTTTACGCTTCCGGACTCTCCACAGCAAAATGGGATTGCTGAGCGCCGCATTGGCATGGTCATGGATGTCGCTCGTACGTCCATGATGCATGCGGCTGCCCCCCACTTTCTGTGGCCATTTGCGGTTCGGTACGTGGCGCATCAGCTCAACCTTCACCCAAGGGTCTCTCGGCCCGCGATGTCCCCAGTGTTACTGTGGACGGGGAAGGTCGGCGATGCGTCTGCGTTCCGTGTCTGGGGATCTCGGGCGTTTGTCCGTGACTTGTCTGCGGACAAGCTGTCCCCCCGTGCTGCTCCTTGTGTCTTCCTTGGCTTCCCCCCTGACGCTCCAGGGTGGCAGTTCTACCACCCCTCCTCTCGTCGTGTTCTGTCCTCCCAGGACGTCACGTTCGACGAGTCAGTCCCCTTCTACCGCCTCTTCCCCTACCGTACTCCTTCCCTCCCCCCCCCACCGGACTTCCTGGTACCAGTTCCCCCCCCGGTAGACCCCCTCCCCCCTCAGGTTCCTGCCCCTTCAGGTGTGTCCCAGGTAGACACGGTCGGGCCAGTCGAGGTTGCTGCTGAGTCTGGTCCTGCCGCGGGTGCTGAGCCTGGGGATGCTGCTGCTGGGGGTGCTGAGCCTGGGGGTGCGAGGCCGGGGGGTGCTGAGTCTGGGGGTGCTGAGCCGGGGGGTGCTGAGTCGGAGGGTGCTACGTCAGGAGCTGCTGAGCCTGGGGGTGCTGGGCCTGGAGGTGCGGAGCCTGCGCCTGCTGGACCTGGGGGCTCTCCGGTTCTTCAGTCTCGACGGGAGCCGCTCTCTCCACAGGAGCTGCGCGAGTGGTTTGCTCGCCGCTGGAGGCGTGCTGCTGGAGCTGGAGCTTCTTCGCCTGCTGAGGGTGCTGGTGCTGTCGGTCCCGAAGCTGCTGGGCCTGTGGGTCCTACTGGAGCTGGAGCTACTGAGTCTGGGGGTGCTGAGTCTGGAGCTGCTGAGCCTGGAGGTGCTGAGTCTGGAGCTGCTGAGCCTGGGGGTGCTACGTCTGGAGCTGCTGTGCCTGGGGGTGCTGAGTCTGGAGCTGCTGAGCCTGGGGTTTCTCCTGCTGCTGCGTCTCGCCGGGAGCCCCTCTCTCCACAGGAGCTGCGCGAGTGGTTTGCTCGCGGCTGGAGGAGTGCTGCTGGAGCTGGAGCTTCGTCGACCGTCGAGGGTGCTGGTGCTGCCGGTCCCGGAGGTGCTGGGCCTGCGGGTCCTACTGGAGCTGGAGCTGCTAAGGGTGTTGGTGCTGAGACTACTGCTGTCTGTCCTGGCGGTGGTTCTGCTGCTGGTGCTGCTGGAGGTCCTGCCGCTGGAGGTGTTGGTGGCGCTGGTGCTGTCGCTGAGGGTGCTCGTGCTGTCCCTGCTGAGTCTGGAGCTGCCGCGCGGCCTCGGCCGTACTTCGTTCCGCTCCTACAGCAAGTTCTTGGTCTTTCTCCTTCGGTAGAGTGTCCACAGCCTGTCCAGTCGCAGTCACTGTTGGAGCCTTCCTCTCCTCTGCCTGCTCCCTCTCCTTACACTGGTCCTACTGGAGGTCTTGCTGAGCGTCGTGAACCTGCGTCTCGTCCCGCGTCGCCTGTTCGTGCTGCTCGCGCTAGTGGTCGCGGCTCGCGTCAGCGTCCTCCTCCTGTCCCTGGCACGCACCGGATGTCTCTGCGTCCGTCCACTGCT